AGTGGTCCAGACCAGACATAGCTTGCGCAGTAAGCATTTTAAGTCGTTTTACTGCTGCACCTACAAATTTACATTGGATGGGTGTAAAGAGGGTTCTCAGATATTTAAAGGGAACTATAAATTTGGGTCTTCAAATACAGATTACTGAGGAATTGAAATTAAAGTGTTATGTCGATAGTGACTATGCAAATGACATAAATACAAGGAAATCAAATTATGGGATCATAATATTGTTTGGAGGGACTCTGATTGGATGGAAGTCCAGAAAACAAACAACTGTTGCTATTTCAACAGTGGAAGCAGAGTTTATTGCTTTATCTCAGCAGTTCTCAACCTGTGGGTCGTGACCCCATTTGGGGTCTAACGACCATTTCACGGGGGTCGCCAAACAACGCAGTCCGCCATTTTTTTTTACCCTTTTCCTTTCCCTCTTATTGGCTTTCGAAAGTGCCACAGGTGGCACGCAGAGCCGTTCCTGCCTCCCTCCTCTTTGTGCATGTGCAGCTTTTTCCTATATAAAAGGAAGTTTCGGTTTCGGTCCACGTGGCAGAAGCGAGACAGAGGACAAGCGGCAGAAAGCGAGAGAGAAGAAGTAAAAGCGGTAAGTTTTGTCTCTGTCCTGCCGCTGAGCTTCCTCTGCTTGGCCACCAGACACCCCAGCGGCCCCAGAACACCTGCCCGCATTTCCTTCCATTTTTTTTAGCCGGCCCAGCGGCTAAAAAACACCCCGCAGCCGCCGGCACTTCTTGTAATTTTGCAGCGGGCCTCCCCCTTCACCAGTCTCTCCGGCCGCCTCTTCTCCGTTCCTTCCGCCCTGACCTTCGCTTTTTCCCTTGCGCTCAGATGCCCTCTTGCAAAAAAACTAGCAAAGTTGCCAGAGAACCAAAATTAGATAGAAGTATTCATCACGCGAGCGCACAGAGCGAGCCAGAGACGAAGCTTTGCGCGTCAATGAAATATTAGTAAGTCCTCCAGCCTAAGCGGAGGGAAGGAAAAGCCCAGAACATGGTGATAGGGTGGCAAGCGAGCCTCCAAAAAGGACTTTCCAAGCTTGCTGAAACTATCCCGGGAAAGGAAACT